TGGACACAACATCTTTGTTTGTATGTGGTGCTGAGGATTGAACCCGGGCCGCACGCATACCAGGGGAGCGCGCTACCACTTGAGCCACATCCCCAGCCCCGTAGTAAATTCTTAATATATATTTGATAGATGATTATTCATTTAATAATTACTGACTGACATTTTTCTGATTAGGCACTAGATATACAATGGTGAACAAACAGTGGTGATCATCAGCAGACATGATCTCCTGCTCTAATAATAATTACCTATTACACAAACAGGTATAAAATTATAGCTGTGTTGTTATGAGAGAAGAACTTGGTGCTGTGATCCCTCACAACAGTAACAACTGAGCTAAGGTAAGTGGGAAGAGTGGGACATTAAGGAAAAGAAGAGAGGAAGGAAGAGCACTTCCTGCAACAGCTATAACATATGCACAGGCCTTGTGATGAGAGGGATGAGGACAGCATGTTCTAGTTGCTGAGGGAGGTGAGATAACACTGAGGAGGTATGACAGGGGCTAGACTGCCCAGGACCTTTATGAATCATGATGAGGCTTTTAGACTTTAATCCTAATTACAATGGTGAATCATTGAAAGGTTTTATGATAGTGGGCAGCAATGGAGTTGGAAAAAAGTATCTGGATTTGGGTCACCCGAGATAAAATTAACAGCTTTTTGGATTGAATCTGATGTGAGAGAGAAAGGGCTCTCAGGGAAGTCTTGCTTAATGAATACTCATTGGTGCCATTCACTGAGATGGGGAATAGTATAAGAGGACCTGACATCAGAGGTGAAAATCACAAGTGTCTAAGATCTCTAGGAGATCTTAGAAATACATTTTTTTTCTTTTTTGTGATACTGGGGATTGAATCCAGCAGTGTTCTACCACTGAGCTATATCCCCAGTCCTTCTTATTTTTATTTTGAGATAGGATCTCACTAAGTTGCCAAGGCTAGCCTTGAACTTGAGCTCCTCCTGCCTCAGCCTCCTGAGTTGCTGGGATTAGAGGTGGGTACAACCATGCCCAGCTAGCAACATAAATTTTAGACTCATCTGTAAAAGGTTGTAACTAAAGGAGGAAGGCATAAAGACCAATTGGGGGAAAATATTCATTAAAGAGAAAAGGAGACTTAGGATCAAAGTTTGAGGTAAGCCAACATCTACTAGCTGGATATGGAGAAATATAAGGAGCAGCCAGAGAAGAAGCAGAAGTGATTGAGAGTTCTGGGTCACAGAAGCGAAAAGAAGAGTTAATTAAAAAATTAGACAGTAGTCAATGGAGAAGAGGATGTTGTTAGTATAAGTTTCCTGAGGTCACAAAAGATAGGATCAATGGCACAGGTGGAGGAATTGGCCTTGGCCAGCTACTCTATCGTGGTAGGAACAAAGAAGGCTGCTAGTAAATTAATGTCTTAGTAGTGGGAAGTTGAAAGTTCCATTTTCTCAGTGAAGTAATTAATAAGAGAACTGATCACAGACTTGTAGAAAGATGGCTGGGCCATATGTAAGACCTATCTGAAGTGAGTGACCATGAATTTAAAGTGAGGTAATCTGCCCTGTTTGTTTTTCTAGCAATGTTTGTTGCTCTTGTGCACACACACAAAAAACATTTAGTTAAATGAATAAACAAAGAAAGGATCAAACAAGTAGTAGAAATCAAAATAACCTGACAAATTTAAGGGGTAAGAGTGAAGAAGGACAAAGTCCTCTGCTGCTGTGATAGAGACCCTCCTCCTCTATGTGACCCATGCATCGTACCACAGTCCACTGCTAACCTTTAGTCGAGCTGGAGGCTGAAGCAGGCCGGGAGGATCGCTTACGATGTCCATTTTCCACACTTTCAGAAGCCACAGTTGGCTCTTCAGTTCGGGAGTTTCTTCGGCTTGGGGTTTTGGACTTTTCAACAATCTCTTTTGGCTCACTGCTGACAAAGGGAAGCACAAAGTTTCCAAGGAGGTGAAGGAAACAAGTCACACTAAAAGTGACTCTTCAGAGTGTTTCATTCATAAGGTAGGAGGTTATTTATCTCGTTCTGGAGAGAAAATATTCTGCCACTGGGACAATAAGCATGAACTTCTCTACTATTGAGAATTTAGTTAGTCTAGCTTGCTACATTAGTGAAAATAAATACTAAAGCACATGCTGGCGAAATTCTTCAAAGACAGACTTAAGAATTGAGGATAAACCTCCCCCAAAACTTCCTCATCCCTCTTCCTAAAGTAATAATACTTCCCTTTAAAAACTAAGATTTTGGATTTTGTGATTTTTTTGAGTCATTAAATACTTTTTGTGTTTAATAATTGTTTGAAAACTGCTAATAACTTAAACAGCATCCAAAATCTAGGACACTGCAAACTATATTGGCATTTACTATGAGTCTATTATAGTCAGATAATGGTACAAGTCACATTATGGAAATATATTCACAATACATTGCTACCTTGGTAGTATTAATTGTCCCAATCTCAAGCCTCCTTTTTTAGTATGTGAAGATCTATTATTATTGAGGATAGAGTGAAAAAAATATTTTCATACATTCCTGATGGAGTATAAACTCAATAGTTCTCAACTTTGCCTCTTAGGGGACATTTCACAATGTCTAGAGACATATTTTTTTTTTTCTTAATAGACCTGGATACTTAACCCAGGTCTTTATGCATGGTAGGTGAGTGCTCTACCACTGAGCTACATGTGCAGACCTCTGGAAATATTTCTGATTGACATGACTTGGGAGAAGTGCTACTAACATCATTTGCATGGGGGCCAGGGATACTGCTATAACCCTACAATGCATAAGACAGTCCCCTACAAGAAAGAGTTATCTGGTCCAGAATGTAAATGATGTTGAGGTTGAGAAAAACGGACAAAAATCCTTTGTCTCACAAATTACATTTCTATTTTGCCTTAGGAAACAAATCTTTTTTTAAAGCATTTTTAACTGTAGATGGACACAATACCTTTATTTAATTTACTTATTTTTATGTGATGCTGGGGATTGAACCCAGTGCCTCACACATGCTAGGCAAGTGCTCTACCATTGAGCCACAACCGCAGCCCAGGCAACAAATCTTTTTACAAAGCTCTAATTACACACAAAGATATTAAAATGCTTTATTTGTACTAGTGGAAACAGAATACCTAAATGCCTAACAATAATAGATTAACTAAATTATGGCACATCCATATGCAATCATGAAAAATCATGTTGTATAAGATGATTTTATGATAAACTTAAATCATTATTTGTGTCTATGAGCATTCATATTGGGGACTGAACCCAGTGATGCTCTACCACTGAGCTATATCCCCAGCCCTTTTTAATTTTTATTTTGAGACAGGGTCTCATGATACATTATTATGTGGAGGAAAAAGTTACCAATATTATGAATAATAAAATTCTATTTTCATTACAATATATATTGAGTATATAGGTGTCTACATATGAATGAATGAATAAGAAATATATATATATACACACACACACACATATATTGGGCATAATATATCTGTATGTATGGTCTGTGAAGAGGACTAGAAAATGGTGAACTAAAATACATACAGTGAATATTACTGAATTATAGGAACATTGGTTTCCTGGTAAGTTATTTTCTTTGTAATTCTATGATCTGAATTTGATGTCGTTTTTTTTTTTTTAATTTTATTTATTTATTTTTATGTGGTGGTAAGAATCGAACCCAGGGCCTCATACGTGCTAGGCGAGTGCGAGTGCTCTACCACTGAGCCACAACCCCAGCCCTATGATCTGAATTTGAAACTTTCTTTATAAACTATTACTATTTCATGGTTCAAAAATGCATACTAAAACCAGAAAACAAAAAAGAAGTTAATTAAATATTATTGGAACTGAAAAGGCATAGAATTGGAGAAAAAATAATATTAACAAAACAAAAGTGGTCAAAGACCACCTCTTCTGGGAAATCTTTTATGCTTCATTTCCCAAGCGGAGTTATCTCTTCTGTCTTTTGAGTTCACAGTCTGTATCTGGTATTCTTTAGCTCCCATCAGATTATATAGCACATATTTTAATGTCTTGGGTGCTCTATTAGATTTTGGGATACTTAAGGGCACAAACTGGTGATTACCAGTTATCTATTCCCCTTCACTGTTCACTCCTACCAGAAGACCCTTCATAGTAGCACCACAGGTAGGAACTAGGCTACACTGTTTACTACCCTGCTTTAAGTACAACAACCACTTCACACCCAAACACAAGCTGAAGCAAGTCAAAGACAGGCTAGACTTGAGCTGGGGTGGAATTACAAGTCAAGAAGATTAACACCTCCTTTTAGAGGTTGTAAGGATGGCTTTCTGGCTGGGATCCTAGAAGACAAACATTCTGAGGAAGGAAGATTCTTTATGGGGGGGGCCTCTTTCTGCTGGTAAAACAAAAGCCAAGGTAATAATGTCCTTATGTTTTTATGGTTAATGCTCAGACAGCTCTGAAACAAATCCCATAAGGTATTTTTTTGTCTGATTAGTTTCTTTCTCTAGACAAATAGTTGGTGTATGTTTGAGAAATGCAAATGAATTGGAACACTGGCTCAGTCCAAATGAAACCTGAGACAAGGCAGAGTGGTAAAGCTGGAATAGCATTGAATTTGGAATCAGATGACCAGGGGTCAAGTTGGAAAGATACTTTTATCAGATATAATATTTAATTCTCTCTATGCATCTGACTCTATATCTGTAAATCCATTTTTTTTTCTGCTACAATACAGAGATTAAAGGCGAGGGCTCTGGAGTCAGAAAGACTGTATTGAATCTCAGCTTCATCCTTTACTAAATCCGTGAATTGGACAATTCAGTTAACCTCTCTGGGCTTTAGATTCTTCTTCTATAAGATAGAATTTATTTTTCCTAATAGACACTGTAAAAATCAAGTGAGATAATACAATTAGGGAGCTTGTAGCCCAAAATATGACAAGAAATAGAATTCAAATAAATGTTGGCTATTATTGCCTCCTTATGTGGCTGATATGAAGATTAAATGAGAAAATGACTGTAAAGGAGTTTTATAAACTAAGTTGCTGTACAAATATGAGAAATTCTTTAAAATGTTATCTAGTTCCTTCCCAGATGAAAAAGGGATGACTAGCCAGGCATGGTGGTGCACACTTGTAATCCCAGTTACTCGGGAGGCTGAAGTAGGAGGAACACAAGTTTGAGGCTAGCAACTAGTGTAAGACTCTGTATCAAAATGAAAAATAAAAAGGGCTGGGGATATAGCTCAGTGGTAGAGTGCTTTTCTTTTTCTTTTTTTTTTTAAGAGAGAGAGAGAGAATTTTTTAATATTTAATTTTTAGTTTTCGGCAGACACAACATCTTTGTTTGTATATGGTGCTGAGGATCGAACCCGGGTCACACGCATGCCAGGTGAGCGCACTACAGCTTGAGCCACATCCCCAGCCCGGTAGAGTGCTTTTCTAACATGCATGAGGTCCCGGGTTCAATCCCCAGTACCACACTCTTACCCACAGAAAAAAGAATGACATTTGGAAGACATTTCTCTCCATGGTGCTAATGAGGTTGAAGACACAAATGTGCTTCATTTTGTTAAATTATGTGGGGCTGCATAATTAACAGAACAAACCATGTATGGGGTCAGACCCTACCTGGCTTTCTCTCTCTTTTCCTTGAGGATCCAACAGATATACTTCAGAAGGTAGAATGCAAGAATTCTTAGTGACACTTAGGACAATAGCTCCCATACATTGAACACTTACTATTTATTTTCCATGTTGAATGCTAAACATGTTATTCAGTTTTCAGAACAACCACAAATGGTAGAGAGAGACCTAACTTTATCAAGAAAAATGTTACCTCTGAAGGGTTAGGACTCATAGCAGCTCTCTACATGAGCAGTAAAACAGACTGCTACAAGAGTGCAGGAAAAGGACAAGGTGAAAATAAGTTTAAAGACTACAAAAGCTGACACCCTTCAAAGAGGCTTATGCTATGGTCATGTTAATCTGCAGAAATGATCATCTTACCTTTGTCCAGAGACTATGGCAGCATTTGCCTCGAGTTCTGTCAAAAATACAAAGGACAGACATGAGACGTGTAAGATGCTGGTCTAAATGTCCACAGGGAGATGTTAGGTGTCTATGACAATTCTGAATGTCCTAATTAGGCTAATGGGTCTCTATGCCCAGGGTTTCACCCTAAATGGTACTGAGACAAAAGTTGGCATGAACCAAATTTGGTTTGTTGGGAATATAAGACACTTACTTGGTCTATTTTTATTTCTACTTCATACTGTGAAATAATCCTGTTTGGATCAACAGAACTAAATTTCACAGTGCCTGGTTCATATTTCACCCAGCTACAACTAAGTTAGTAAAATAAGTCTCTTCCTTTCATATAGAAAAGACTGTTTTCATTCTTAAAATATCATCACCCTCATGCACTTTTAAAAAAAAGACAGTAATCTTCAAACATGTCTTGAACATCTATTATGGATGCATTTTTCTCCAAACAACTTCCTCATTGAGCTGTGGAGGGCAGAGTGCCTTGCTTTGAGATACCGCCCACAGACTCCATCACATCCCTTTTTTTTCAACCTTCCAGCAATGCCCTCCAAGAAAAGACAGTCTCAATGATTTGTCTAGCAGAGTTTTATGTCAATTAGTACCCCGAGTTTATTAAACACTTCTCAACAGCAGGAGAAAACGTCTGCTTCCTTTAGTATGTGAGTTTAGATAGCTTCATCTTCCACAAAAGCCCCTCCCTGATGGCACCAGACGGCAGTGATCTGTACTGCCTCTGGCCTCCCATGGCCCTGCACCTGTTTTTCCATTTAGGAAATTCAAGTACCTCATACTTGGTGTACATATCTAAGTTGCTTTACTGAGTACATGGTAACCTTCTTGAAGGCAGTGAAGTCAGAGTGCCTGGTTTGAAGCCAATCCCAAAAAACCAAAGGCCAAATGCTCTCTCTGATATGTGGATGCTAACACACAATGATGCGGCTAGGGAGAACAGAAGTTCATTGGATTAGACAAAGGGAAAATAAAGGGAAGGGAAGGGGGATGGGAGTAGGAAAGACAGTAGAATGAACCAGACATAACTTTCCTATGTTCATATATGAATACATGATCAGTGTAACTCCACATCATGTATAGCCACTAGAATGGGAAGTTATACTCCATGTATGTATACTATGCCAAAATACATTATATTGTCATGTATAACTAAAAAGAATGAAAATAAATATTTATATAACTGATAACTGATATAAGTAGAGGGTTCTGAGGATATTTTAAGGAGATTTATATTTTATTTTTGGTACTGAGAATTGACCTCAAAGGTTCTTTACCATTGAGCTACGTCCCCAGCTCTTTTAATTTTTTTATTTTGAGACAGGATCTCATTAAGTTGCTGAGACTGTCCTTGAACTTTCGGTCTTCCTGTTTTAGCCTCCTGGTTGCTGGGATTATAGGTGTGTGCCACCACATCTGGCTTAAGGAGATTCATTTAAGACAAACTTTAAAAAGGAACAGAGTTTTTCAGCCAATTATTCTGAGAGAAAGAAAAAAAATAATAGCAAAGCTCATTTTCTGGAGTAAAGAGGTGGTGCAAGAAATGGAATTCCCTTTCCTTTTTAAATCTCTTATTATTTTTTTAAATATTTTTTTTAGTTGTAGGTGAACACAATATCTTTATTTATTTATTTTTATGTGGTGCTGAGGATCAAACCTGGTGCCTCACATGTTCCAGGCAAGCTCTCTGCCACTGAGCCCCAGCCCCAGCCCCAGCCCCAATCTCTTATTCTTATGAAAAAAAGTTTTACCATTTAATCCCTTTTCTGAATAAATTATTTTTTTTTTTAGTTGTCGACGGACCTTTCATTTATTTATTTTTATGTGGTGCTGAGGATCAAACCTGGTGCCTCACATGTTCCAGGCAAGCTCTCTGCCACTGAGCCCCAGCCCCAGCCCCAGCCCCAATCTCTTATTCTTATGAAAAAAAGTTTTACCATTTAATCCCTTTTCTGAATAAATTATTTTTTTTTTTAGTTGTCGACGGACCTTTCATTTATTTATTTTTATGTGGTGCTGAGAATTGAACCCAGTGCCTCACATATGCGAGGCAAGAGCTTTACCATTGAGTAACAACCCCAGCCAGTCCTTTTCTGAATAATTTGTTCTGTTTCTACTCTTCAAATTTTTCACCATAATGCCAGTTATCATGTAGGCAGCTGGCAGCACAGAAAAGAATTTGAGTAAATGAAATGTTTTTTGCTCATACATTCTGTCCAGAGGTCTAATTCTTTCTAGTGTGTGCGGGTGGAAGTCCTATCCATCATACAGGTTGTAACACCCTGAAGCAAGTTTTAAAATAACTTTTTATTTCTATTGGCTACTACTCTTAGAATTGAATATGGTTATGTTGCCTTTTCTTACTAATTTTGTTAAATGTATACTTTCCATGATATTCTAATCTCTTTGTGGGAACCAGTCACACATTTTCCTCTCCTTCTATCCCTCAGTCAAGCTCCAGTGACAAAGACAGAGGCAAGACTAAACTGTACCACCTATGATACTCATCTGCTTCTGCAGTCTAACCCATGAATTCAGAAGAAGTGCTACTATTGTCAATCAAGATCCTCATGTCTTCAGAGCTTCCCCAGCATCCCATAGCAATCATCTGTCAGATTACCATGGACTCTTCCTTTCAGAAACATCATCCCTAGGGCTATTTACAATATCTTAGTCATGGGGAGAAACTAAGCCATCTAGAGATGATTGAAATGACTGCCTCCCCAGAGGAATGACTACCGCACTGCGGCAGAGTGTCTTTGAATAAGCCTCCACTGATTTCATGATGATGCAATCATTATTTTGGTGTATTATTTGGTGCTTGCCACCCCAGTAAATCACTTTATGCCATATAGTCAGATGTCAGCTGTAGGTGCCTGGGTCAGGAACAGGGCCAACTCTGCAGTGGGAACCACTCATGACTGGGTGGGAGACTGACAATGAGCACAGAGATGCCCTTCTTGATGTTGATATTACAAATGTGTAAGAGAGCAAGCTGTTGGGAAAAATAACCTCAGAATGTACTGCAGAAGTTCTGCCACTAAATGGAAGTCTGCCTGAAAGCAAACAAATAAGACATGTCCAGCCACTTTCTGGTACAAGAACATGACACTGAGGACAAAAGTAGTTCCTTCATATGTGACCCATTCCTTTCCAAGAAGTTTTTCCTACACATGTCTTACCTGATCTGGCAACAGGCCCCTGCAGTGCTGTGGCTGGAGTATCCTTTGGAACTAAATTCTGTGAAGGGGCTAGGGCAAGAAAAAAAAATTACAGACCTTTCACTTTTTTTTCTAAATAAAACAAAAAGCATTAACTGAATCAAAGACCTATTTGCTTAAACACCTTACTCTTAGAGTGAGTACTTGACACTGACCTTGAAATTACAAGTAAAATTTACTTAACAAATCAACTAGTATACCACTAAGTAACAAAGAGTATCACTTAAGAATGTTTTTCCTCTTTATATATGTAAAGATCAATAAAGGAAATGGCCATGAAAAGATTTGCACTCACATTTTTTGCTTCCTTTTTTTTTTTTTGTACTGAGGATTGAACCTAGGGGCGCTCAACCACTAACCACATTCCCAGCCCTTTTTATTTTATATTTAAAGACAGGGTCTCACTAAATTGATCAGAGCCTCACTAAGTTGTTGAGGCTAGCTTTGAACTCGTGTTCCTCCGGTCTCAGGCTCCTGAGTGGCTGGGATTATAGGTGTGTTCCACCACGCTTGACATACTTTTTGCCTTTTGAGGGAAAGCATGTCTTACTAGAAAATCCAAGTCATTTTTAGATTATACCATTCACCTTAGCTTTTTAAAACTCCTGCCTTACCTTTCCTCAGACTATATTCCTTGAGAACTAAAACTATCATATAATTTTGTACTTTTCTATAGCACCAAACAAGAGTGATGGGCATAAAGCAAGTATGCAATCATACTTACTGAGTAAGTCAATCTGATATTATTTACCTGTGTAACAAATAGTTATAAGGAACTTTTGTCTAGAGCCATGGTACTGTACCACAAACACTTAGAGACCAAATTACATCCTTCATATCAAGAACCCAGTTTGGTATTAATGATAAATACATGTGATACACTAGAGTACACTGTGATGTCACATGAAGATTATACATAAAGTGCCATGGGAGTCCAAAGTAATGGAGTTCAATTCTAGGTTGAGATATCTGAAGGCATATTAAGGGAAAAATGTCAGAATTAGCTTTTGAAGAACAGAAAGAACTCAGGCCTTGAGGAATGGAATGGAATAAATGACACACTCTAGAACAGAAACTTTCTGGATCATATGGCAAAGATTAAAGGAACAGATAAGCCATAGTCATTCAAGGGTGTGTCCTCCCACCTTGATACTTGAATCTTAAGTAAACACTGCAACAGTAGGTTCCCTCTTATGGAAACTGAATTTTGTAGATTTCTTCTCCTGCTTAATAAAGCAGTCAATAATATATTTGGTTAAGAATTTATCATTGATGCTTATCTGATAAAGCTTAAAACTATACCTTAACTTCTACTTTTAACTTCAGTATTGTTTTCTCACATTTTCAAGGTAAAAGCACAGAAGTCCCTTGAAAAAGAATAGAAACAATCACTATAAGCAAAGTGGGTGGCCATAACTAAAACTGAGAACTTTTTCCCACTGCTGGTTCATCTCCTCAAAATTTATATATTTCTCTTATTTTTATATGACCCAAATAAAAATATTTTCTAATTACTTCTCATCATTCTTTTCGTACCAGAGGGAGAAGTTCCCTGAAAAAAGAAATAAAAATATTTAATAAAACAGAATATTTAAATCATACCAGGTTTCTTTTTAATTCTTATGGTCACCAACATCAACAAAACTTGAAAAAGAAACAAAAGAGTGCTCATCCTGTAAAATCTTTGTCTTCTACTGAGGCAGCAAAATCCAAAAAATCTTTGTCTCTCCCTGTACCTTTTAACACTGAGGTAAAGAGGCAGATGAGGGGAATTAGCTTTTTTAGAGTTCTACATGAGATAGCATTCTGGTCACTGGACGTTAAAAACTTTTATTGAATCTTTGTATAAATTCAGAGAGGTAGGAATTACAATCTCTATTTTACAGGTAAAGTACAAGGAACTTACCTGACTGTAACCAGTGGAACTAAAATTTGAACTCTGATTATACCCTGAAACTTGTGTTCTTTCTGCCCCTACTCCTGAGTGCTTATCACTGGTAGTGGTAAAATGCTTTGAGTGGTAGGCATTCAAAGCATTTTAACTGCATAAATAAGACAGGTACTATTAGCTGGCTTTGGATATTGCAGAGGCCCTCCCAGCTCTTGAGAATGTGGGACTGATTAGTCTCTGGGGAAATGGAGCTTCTGCATCTTATACCTCTAGGAAGGAAGAAGAGGAGGAAGCAAGGGTGGGAAACCAGAGACAGGAAGGAGAGGGGCTATAAGGATACCTATGCTTTCATTATTAGCTCATCTTAACATTACATAGGAAATACCCTGAACTAGATTATCTATGAATGGAATGGAAAAACTTACAAAGAGATTATATTAAAAGAAAACTGTGGGGCTGGGATTTGTGGCTCAGTGGTAGAGTACTTGCTTAGCATGTGTGAGGCACTCAGTTCAATTCTCAGCACTGCATTTAAATGAATAAATAAAATAAAGATCCATTAACAACTAAATATTTTTTTTAAAAAAACTGGAAATCACTTTTTTTTTCACCATTTACTAATCAATCATTATATTGTTTTTGTGGGGATCAAACCCACGTGTGCTTTACCACTGAGTTACATCCTTGGCCTGTTTATTTTTAAATTGAGATGGGGTCTTGCTAAGTTGCTTAAGTATTCACTAGGTTGCTGGGGCTGGCCTTGAATTTGTGTTCTTCCTGTCTCTGGGATTACAGGCGTGCAGCACCATACTTGGCCCAATTGTTATATTCTAAGCCTAGTATTCAGCTTGTTATATGAATTACTTCACTGAAATCTTACAACTACCATTTTCCCCATAATTCAAAGAAGGAAACTTATAGTTAGTAGTGGTCAAGTAACTTGCCCTGCTCCATCTGGCTGTAAATGCTGGTGCTGTGTTATCAACCCAAACCTCTCTGACAATTTGCCACTTTGATCCTTCCACATCTGTTAACATGGAGCCCAATTTTCTCAAAAGCTCTTCTCTGAGGGTAGCCCAGACAGAAAGGGAATATTCCCTGAGGTAGAGTACAATGAGAACAGGGCTATAGAACCTGCTCTGATAAAGCTGCGAGCAAATCTTCCTCATGGTAAGGGGAACCTGCAGAAGCTGTCATTTATGTTTAAGAGAAACTGCCAGGCTGGAGACTCACAGTATAGACAGAACAAATACTAATCTTCTTGGAGCTTCAATCTTCTCATCCATACAATGGGGTAAGACAATCTTAACATGGTTGATATGAAAATGATGTGATAATGTATGTAAAAACACTCCCTTGTAAACTGAGAAACTTTTATATATATATAAACAAAATGTGTTATTTTAGGAGCTGAGAACCATGTCCATGAGCGTAAACATAACATGTGATTTAAAAGCATATTTTCAATAAATAAAATTATCACTATTGGCATTTAGCCCATTCTTCTTCCTCCAAGTAGAAAAGGAATCATGCTTTTCCTCTTATGGGATAGGTCATCAAAAAACTCTGACATTATGAGTGATGCCAAGGCCAAGTACATACCTATGCTGGGTAGAAGCTCTGGATGGGATCCCACCTTCTCCTCCACTAGGCCACCCACAAGTGGCTCCGATGCTATGCCACCATGATTGCTTTTTGTGGTCGGCGTCGTGGAGATGAGCTCAGAGGATACCAGAGTGGGTACTATTGAGCGTATACTGGTGGGGAGAGCACCGCCAGGCAAGCTGGGTCCTGCTGAGGCAGAGCCCAGGCCCACTGGACTAGAGGTCATTTTTAGCAGAGTAGGTGCTGGGGGTGTTGGGGTTTTACTGTCCAGCTCTGTGGATAACTGCTCTGTTCCCACAAGTCCAGGAGCTGTGGTCTCCAGCCCTTGGCCTTCAGTCTCTCCATCTGCACCATATTGCTCTTCCCCTTTTTCAAGAGAGCCTGTAACTTTCTTACATGCCTTGGTCAACAAAATCTGGCCAATTTTGTCCACTTTTCCTTTGCCCTTACTAGATGAGACTGGGCTTCGTCGGTTGACAGAGGAGCCTGGACTATTGGTCAGAAGGGGAGAAACCATTGTGGTTGACTGTGATGAGGGGAGAGTGCTCTGATCTGCTGAGGTGCTCACCTGAGGACTGGCCTCATCTGGATTCAATTCTTTCACTTGCTGGATAGGGACATGAGGAGGGACAACTGGAGAAGATGTACAAGGAGGTGAAGGAAGCTGAACAGGAGTGGCTCGTGAGTTAAGAACCAAGGGTCGACTTGCCTGTATGTTGGAAGCAGGACTACTGGAGGGGGCATTAGGTGGTACAGGAGCTGAAGAAAATTTTATGTTCTGAGGTATGTGTAAAGGACCAACAACTGCAACAGAGGGAGGCATCAGGCCAGAGTTGGTTGTCAGTGGGGCCGCAGGAATTGTGCTTGGCTGTGATCCTTTCATAACCTGAATTATTGAGGATGAATTGATAAAGACAGGTGTAATGAATTGAGGCCGGGCATTAGACTGAGCAGCTGACTGTCCCTCAGAAACCATAACCTTGCTACCCACATTGGGCATGGTGACAACTGTTGACATCAATGCAGACTGCAAATGAGTTGGCAGGGCTGCTGATGTGTTAGCTGAAGTGGTTATGGGATTGGAAGTGACAAAAACAGTTATTTGATTTGGGGGCAAGGGAGTGGAAATGGAGGAAGAACTGACAGGTCTTGACATTACTGGAGGGATGCTTGGTGCAACATTGGAACTGACCTCACTCATTTCTGGATGCACAAGGGTTGAACACGGCTCATTACTGTGAGATAAGTTTAGGGAATTAGAGGGCTCTTTAGAAGACGGATCCTGCAGTGTGGGAATGACAGGTGCTTTTTTGAGGTCCTCCCCTGAAACTAATGGAGGTGTTACTTCCAGATCTGTAAGCCCAGGGGGTTTAATGGTCACATTAGGAGCTCCAGAGTTGTCAAGAAGTTGACTTAACGATGTTGGTGCTTCCCTCATGGCAGGAGACACCAAAGTTTTGTTCTCTTCAACACTGGAAAGTTTGTTAGGATCCGAAGGCTGCCCATCCTTTTTGGATTGATCTTCAGGGACAACCATTTTAACTTCTTGGGCAGGGACTACTTTTAGCTCAACATTTACCTGCTCCTTCCTACCCTGGGAATTCTGGCAATCACTGTCCTGAGGCATATTCAAGCTCTCCTTGTTATCCTCGAGAACAGCCCCCACTGCAGCCACAGGCATGGTGGGATTCTGAGGATTCAGCCCACTGTTGTTAGGAAAGCTCCCAGGTACAGGGGGATTGGCCAGAGGAGTGGGACTGACCAACACATTTCTTGGTAACTCCACATTTTGCAACAGGGCTGCATTTGTTTGAGATGCCAGAGTAAGTTTAGGGGCTTTTGAATTTTGCCTCCCAGGACTTGGGGTAGTTTTCCTACTGGACCCAGGACTAGACCTGCGACTGTTGCTTGGACTAGCTCGTTTTGTTGCTCCAGAATTAGGCTGCTTTCCAGAATTCACCACCACAGAATCTAATTTGTGAGTTTGTGGGGCTGCAAAATTGGAAGGATTATTCATGGTAAGATTTGAAGGTGCTTGCCCAATGGCCTTCAGAGTTGTTGGATTTAGGCCCTGTTGATCAAAGCCCCTATTTAAATTTGGCCTAGGAGGTAAAGGAATATTAATCTGTGGAGGAAACAGTCCTGCTATGGAGGCATTGAGTCTTTCTGGTGACAGACTGATTTCTGAAGGTTCTGTGCTAGGAGGGCGGTTGTTGGGTGTCTGAGGATAATAGGGTCTGGGGCTGGCTCTGTTTGGTGTTTTAGGCCTAGATGTCTGGGTTGGAGCAGCCACATTTGGAAAGTGGTGGCCATGGGAGCTGGGAAGGGAATTTACAGGAGGTTGCTGGGGAGTTGCACCTTGAGTTGCTGAAAGGGGTGATGGTCCAGGTTTGGGCCCTGTCATCAGTAACTGGTTCTGGGAAACTACTAAGTGCGAAGGCATGTTATTTGGGCCTCCTGAGACCGATGGAACTTCACTGCCACTTGCTTCAGGAAGTGAAGACATCTCTCCCAGAGGTGAGCTAGAAGGATTCTGTGGGTTCTCCTGGTATACCATTTTCCTCGAATTACTTCCCAAAGGAGTATTTACAGGCATTGGCATTCTTTGTTTATCAGGTGATGGTGGCACAGAGGCAGGTCCTTGCAAACTGACCATGACAGGTACATTGCCACTCTGCTGCATGGGCATTCTCTGAGAGTCTGGGTTCAGAGGTCCCCTTGGGGGATGGACATTTTGGGAGACTGGAAGTCTAACGGATTTGGGATCTTGCTGCATCATGAGCATCATCATCATTTGTTGTTGTTGCTGCTGTTGCTGCTGCTGCTGAGACTGCGGCTGACTAGAAGGTGGAGGCTGCTGTTGCTGCTGAGGCATTTGTGGCTGTGGCTGCTGTTGTGGTGGCTGTGGTGGGGGTGCCACATGCTGCATGAGTTGAGGAGGCATCTGCTGCAGTGGCCTCTGTTCAACTGGTTGAGTAGGATAACCTAAAACAAGCCCCCAAAATCAGGGAAGTTAGACTTTCAGCAAGAGAACTTTGCCCTTTAGAGTATAGCCAAGCAATACTCATCTAGGTGGCAGGCAGAATGTGCACAAACAGCTCAGGCATCCCTGCTCCTGGGGCAGGGGACAGCCCCTCATTATTTGACATGAGTAAAGAGGCACACTGCTTAAGAAAGCAAAAAGCAAAGCATTAGGAATGTGGAGCTCCTCAGTGTGCAGGGTCTGAATGAGGCATTAGTGTACTAAGACTGAGAGTACTCTGTACTACTATGGCAGATGGTCCAAATATGAAAGAAGAAAACTACATCAACAGCAAGTGGCTGGCCACCAGCTTTCGGGTCTCATGTAGACATAATCAGAATTTCACTATCTACGTGAATGATGTAAAGCCTTTAGGGTTCCCTTTTTCTGTTAGCATTTTTTTAAGTTGTAGTTGGACATAATACCTCTATTTCATATGAGGTTTTTATGTGGTGCTAAGGATCGAACCCAGGGACCCGCACGTGGTCTACAAGTGAGCTACAACCCCAGCCCCACCCCAGAATTGCTTTTTTTAAGCTTTGAATTTGTTGAAAACAACAGCATTGAAGATAGCCTTTTTATTCTTTCAATAGAAGTAAAATGTAAAATTCTAGGATTCGTTCCTTAAGAAAGAAGGATTTAAAATTATTCTAGTCCATTGGCTCCGTACACTATGCTGCATCCTTCAGGCTCATTCTTTGAGGAAAACTGGTTGAACTGAACTGCCCCTTGGTGCACATCGGTATCAATAAGAACAATAAGGGCTGATATATGTTGTAAATAAAATGAGGGCACTGAAGTTTTTTGCATATTAATTTCCATTTACTTTCTTACATGTAAACCTCTATTTGGAGAAATGTTTTCTATGAATCCACAACTAGAGAATAAATAAGCCAGAAGCAGAACTCTCAGAAATAAAAATAATTTTGGAATAAGAACTCTGAGGAACAATGCCTTCCAGACTTGCAGAAGACAACATTTCAAATGATTACATCTTTTGAAAACCTGGTATTTTAGAATAAAAACCTTAAAAATCAGCAAAGAGGATAGAAAGATAATCAAATTAAACCAAAAGTAAGGTCATTCAGTAGGAAAAAGTAGGCATATGGCTGGGATACAGTTCCACAAACTGGATCATTCGACTGTTGCATGAAAAATATATGTGGAAGGTTTAACAGGGTACAATAATGTGAATGATTGGCTCTGGCAGTTGGAGGAAATGCTGGCTCAAGATTTTCACAGAGCAGTACCAAATACTGTGGGTCAGATTTCGTACTCAGGAGCTAATTAACTTCTTCTTGTCAAAGATTTCCATAGTACCAATGGGTGCAATGTGCAGAATCCAGTTTTGAAGATTTTCATAAAAATTCTTTTGGTTTTAGGCCCAACTAACTTCTTGACCTTATAAAGCCAAAAGCATATGAGATTTTTACAGGTTTTTACAATGGGATTTTATTTTTTACATCTAGTCTGAGGTTCTCACATTAAGAAAATTATAATTTCTTCAAAAGTCCATTCGTGTCAGTTTTATTACACAGATGCCTTTCATCTTTAAAATCAGCTTACCAGACAGCACAGCAAATACCAAAGAGGGTAGCATAGAGTGGCCTCTTTAAAGTAACAGCCAAAGACATGGCTGCTATAAAGGGTCCAGAAACTGGAGGCAGCAGTTCAAAGTGCACTACTAGGAAAATAGATTGGGGTTGATGTGATAGAATGGCGGAGAGGGAAAGCCATGACACACACAGTGCCCATACACAATCAAAAACCAAATTTATTAGTCAAGGATGCAAACTCATCTGTCTTTAAGGGGCCAGGCATGTGGTAAAGAAAAGAAGTAGGCTAATATAAGACAGCAGGAGTCCTGTGGACACTGCCAAACTGCAGAGTAGATACCCTTTCTTAACAGCATTTAACTTCAGGTTTTTGCTTAAGACACAGCATGACAATTCAAACCCATTATAGGCCAAATTTTGCAGAAAAAAGAAAATGATGTGTGTGAAGATCCTTGGAATTCATACAAGAGTTCAGATGTGCTTGGGGGAAGAGGGTACTTTAGGCTCACCATGCCTTCTGGACATATTTGCCAAAGACTGGCAATCCTCCTCCTTAACTATGCTGCTGAGAACTGTGTATTCCCCAGCAATTTGTAAAAAATAACACAAAGCATTGACATCATAATACATTTACTTAGTTTATCTCTAAAATAATACCACTTTTGTTTAGGTATTTTTGTTATTGTTGTTGTTTGTGTATGTAGTGTTGGAGTTAGATCCCAGGGCCTCGCGCATTCTAGGCAAGCCTGCACTGAGTCACACCCCAAACCCTTAACATTACTTCCACTTATATGTCAAAAAGGAGGTAGAGTTACTAATGAGGAAGAAACAAAACAGCTCTTTATAATACACAGGAGACAGAACCCTGAGTGCGAAGGGCTTGTGTATCTTCAATTGTGTCATAGGGGAATAAAGCTACAAGTCACTGTTCAGACCAGGAGTTAACAAGGTATAGAGATACTGTGGCAGCTGGCCTTGGTTCTATAATACCTGGGTTGGAATGAATGAATGAATTCTAGAAGCTTTTTTCCTTTCAGCATAATTTATCAACATTTAAAGGATAATATTTTATAATCAGAGTAATGAATTTCAACAATATCGTACTATTTGTTATAAATCATTAAGCTGGTGTTAGGCACATGGGTATGTTTTTTCTTATTCTTTATATATTTTTGATGTTTTAAAGATTCAAAATAAAACTTCTATAAAAAACATCACTTTCTTTTAATTCCCTGCTTTGAAAAAGCTCCAGGAAGAAAGGCTGCAGGAAAAGCAGGCAAGCAAGATCAGGTAAAAATCTCTCTCCATTTAATCTTATTTGATTCTGATGCCAACTAGAACCTTACACTGATAAGATTAAAGAGGCATTTCACATCTCAATTCTAATTTTATAAAGACTTTAAGTAATAAAGACGATTGGAGTAGAATGTATGTGTTTGTGCCTTAGGAAGTTATATTTGAAATATTTACTTAACATCAAGGCAAAGCTTCCAAATACTAGACACATTAAAATGCTAAAGCAGACTAGTTAGTAGACAAAATACTTTTTTTTTTTTTTGGTACCAGGGATTGAACCCAGGGGCACTTGACCACTGAGCCACATCCCCAGCCCTTTTTTATATTTTATTTAGAAATAGGGTCTCACTAAGTTGTTTAAGGGCCTCACTAAGTTGCTGAGGCTGGCTTTGAACTTGTGATCCTCCTCCCTCAGCCTCCCCAGCTGCTGGGATTACAGGAGTGCACCACCGTGCTCGGCAACACTGTTTCCTTGAAGAGAAGGAAGCCTTGTAATTTTGCATATATGATGACAAGTATATAACCCTTAGCTAACATTTTATTACCTGGTGGCCGATTTGAAAATTCTGGCAGTTTAGGGCCCGTGCTGTCCAAGTTAATTCCTTGTTCTCCAGGCAATGATTGCTGATCAGCCTCTTCCAGACCAGCTGGACGAGCATCTGGGGTGCTAAAAAATAAGTAAGACATTTGAGAGTAAGTTATCTAGAAAATACATGAAACTACCTCAACCTGTTCCCTATTACTAAAGATCTACAATCTATTTACATTATCATTCTTACTGTTATTTACATCTCTCTAGTCTGGATAAAATAGTCAATACTGGCATAAAAATAACCTGGCAAATTCATTAAATGTTAAAATCCACTTACTCTAATAGCACCATATTTACTCAAAGTGCTGTTTCATGCAATCATCTATTCTCAGAACGCCTGGACTTGGTTTGGGACTATCAATATTATTAGTCACTGTTCATGTGAAACCACAGTATCTTCAGTGTAGCTGAAGAATCAAGCTCCAGTAATTCATAACACCTTGCAACAGTTCTAAGTTAGCTGATGGAAATGGTATTTGGGGAACAAAGAAAGGTAGAGGCTACAAGAAAGTTAATTGAATTTTGCTATAGATAAATACTGGCTTTAGGATATATTCATTTTTACTAACCTTAGAATTTTTAGTGGGGTGAGGAAAAATGTGAAGAAACTTAGTTACTAATACCCACATTTCCAAGGAATCAGAGTGCCCACATCCCTCATTTGGTTTATAATCTGACTCCCAGCTGAACCTTTCTTTCCTACTTTTAGTTTAGAAATAGGGTTTCATTAAGTTGTATATATAGACAACAGAGTTTTATTCAATTCAGTTTTATTTATGTCTTGATTGTGGTCACCCACTTTTAGATAGTATTTTGTCTCATACTCTGGATAGTTTAATAAGCCACCATAAATCTATCTTAAAAGCACCAGCATATGAAAATTTAGAACCTGAAGCAGACTTTTAGCACATCCAGATCCCTAAATCAGTTTGTTCCTTATATGACTTTCTTCTCACTTAAAGTTATGAGCAAGGATTCTATGATATCCTTTACTTTTAAAGAATTCTATAACTAAAACAAACAAACAAACTCAGATATTTTCTTCAGTTCCCTTATGTTACAGATGAAAAAACAAAGTTCCAGAGAGGTACAAGAGGCAGGAAAAGGTTCTATGGTAAGCGGGTGATCTTTCTACCTAGGAGCCCTCATGCTGTATAAGGTCCTTTTCATAAAGTATAGAACCAAAAAGTAAGCCATCTTCTTCAGGGCTGTTGAGGACAGTAAAAATGCATACTAACCAGCCTACTGGGAGAAATAAAACAATCATCCCCATAAAAATGTTATTCCCAAAGGCTGATAGATGAATTTAACTGAAGAGAATGGTGGTCACCAAGAATACAAACAATAATAAATTCTGGAGAAGATATAGAGAAAAAGGAACAGTTTAACATTGTTGGTGGGATTGTAAATTAGTACAATCACTATGGAAATCAGTATGGAATTCCCCCAAAAGAAGAGGCATGGAATCACCATATGACTCAGTAATACAACTCCTCAGCATTTATCCTAAAGAATTAAATTCAGCATATTATAGTGATACATGCATACTCATGTTTATAGCAGCACAATTCATAACAGCCAAACTATGAAATCAGCCTACGTGTCCATCAATAGATGAACTGATAAAGCAAATGCTGTATATATAGACAACAGAGTTTTATTCAACCAAAAAGAATAAATTTATGTTATGTGCAGGAAAATGAATGGAACTTGAGAACACTATGTTGAATAAAACAAGTCAAACTCAGAAAGTCAAGGTTTGCATGTTTTTCGCTCTTTTGTTGACGTTACAGAGGAAAAAGGAAAAGAAAGGTAGGAGATCTCATGAAAATCAAAGAGAGATCAGCAGAATAGAGGAAAGGGAGGGGAGAGGGAAGGGATAGAAAAGGGGAAATAATGGGGAATGATACTGGCTAAAGTATATTGTTATATTGTATATATACAAACATTTAACAATGAATCCCATCATCATATGTCACTATAAATCACCAATAAAAATATGAGAAAAGAATTTAACGGAGGAGGAGCTACTAGAAAAATTAGATAATTAAAGGCTTTAAGTTTGAATTCAGGAAAACATACTGTTAATATACAATGATGGCTTTTAATGTATAAAATTCAAGAAACAGTATGATATAATTAGACTACAAAGAATGTTGTGGGAAGGTTGGGGTAAAGGTAGCTACTTTTGGTTTGAATATTTAAATAAACCTTCCTTATTTTTTTCCTATATTTCTACCAGTTTATTTCAATTAATCTGTTTTACATTCATTGGTCACTATTCCCTATTAGTAAATGTCTCTAAATTCCAGTTTTATGACTAAAGGCTGAAAATCTAGCTTAATTAATATTTATTCTAAAACTTTTTTTTAATCAAAATCAGAAACATTATTTAAATTAATACTTAGCTTCAGGAAATGAAGTATAAATTTTTAGTTGCCCTTTCTACTGTGATTTTGCAAAAGAGCTCACCTGGAGAAAGTTTACTGAAAGGGTAACTAATTAAAAGTTACAATCATCTTAGTATGGGGTTTAAGCTTCTAGGGATGATAGGGCCTTTAAAGAAAAGGTATCAGTGCAAAAGAACATTATTTTTTTGGTACCAGGGAATGAACCCGGGGGTGCTTTATCCCTGAGTCACATCCCCAGTCCTTATTTTTTACTTTGAGACAGGGTCTTGCTAAGTCGCTTAAAACCTTGCTAAATTGCTAAGATTGGCATCAAATTTTTAAAAAACTTTTTTCCTTTTTTAAATATTTTTTTTTAGTTGTCAATAGACCTTATTTTACTTATTTATATGCAGTGCTGAGAATCGAACCCAAGGCCTCAGATATGTCAAGCAAGCACTCTACCACTGAGCCACAACCCCAACCTGGCATCGAATCTTTGATCCCTCTGCCTCAGCCTCCAGAGCTGCTGGGATTACAGGGGGTGCCAACATGCCCAGCGAGAAGAACATTTTTATTCCCAGAACATATTTGGCCTCCCTGGCTCCCCAACATCCATAAGCCTGAAGCCAGTGGTTTGTGGAGGAAGTATGGTAGCACCAATTACTTTTCAGGTTCTGGGTACGACAACCCCCTGGGAAAGGGCAGAATTAAGACACATATCAGCCTACTGCAACATATCAACATCATTTGAACCCTTAAACAAGTGAACTGTAAGAAAAAAACCTGAGATAAAAAAACCAAAGATATGTGAGCACAGTTTGGATATGTGAGACTATTAAGGATGTATTAGCTTTCTAGATGTACTATGGTATTATTGTATAGTCATATAAAATAACTGTCCTGCTAGGGACATAGTGGCACATGCCTTCAATCCTAGTTACTTGGGGGCCTGAGGCAGGAATATCACAAGTTCTAGGTCAGCCTCAACAACTTAGTAAGACCCTGTCTCAAAATAAAAAGGGATGGGAGTATAGCTCAGAGGTAGAGCGCTTACCTAGCATGTGTGAGGCTCAGGGTTCAATCCTCTCAGTACCACCAAAAAAAAGGGAAAACTTTCCTTATTTTTGAGAGTTAGTCATTAAAATAGAGTATAACTGCTTCAAAAGAATCAAGAGAATAATGAAAGAAAATACAGATGAAGGCAAGATAGGCTATGATAACTGTTGAAGCAGAAAGATCTCATACTATTCTAATTTTATATATTCTAAAAAAATTTCTCCAATGAAAGTGTCCACATAAAAACAAACAAACAAAATTTGAGGCAAAATTATCACAACCTACTTTAGATCTTGCTGACTATTTTTCTTCTTCCGAGGGGGTTTCTTCTTCTTAGGTTTATTTGCGTTGGTATTATTTTGCTTATTGTTTACCCCAAAATGACCTGCAGAGATGTCACTCTGCAATAAGTTGACCAACAATGGGCTTGTTAGCGTTACATCCTTATTGACAGGAAAGCCTGGATTCTGACCACAGGATATCTGATTTCCATTGGGTGCTCCACTGAAAGGTGCATTGAAAGGCATCCCATGGCCTGAGAAGTGGTTTCCCGAGGCACTGTTTCCCTGCATGGCCTGCACGTGGGGGGGGACCATGTTGGTTTGTTGCATGCTAACATCAGGCATCATCTGAGACAAGCTGACATCATTATTTGCTGTAGTTGCAGGATCACCATGCTGCTGGGCCATGTGTGGGTTGGGCCCTGGTGGCCTTAGGACCTGTCCCTGAATCCCCATAACCTGAGATGGACTGTTGTTCACAGGCCCTTGTTGGGGCAGCATCTGTCCTGACATCTGTCCCGTAAACTGTACCATGTTTCCTTGCATGTTCGGAGTTGGTCCCCTCATTATCTGTGCTGGTCCCGGCATGACACTGGATTGGTTCTGTGTGTTAAACTGCTGCTTATTCCCCTGCATCTGATTGGTCATGATTTGTTCTATCATTGGGTTCTGTTGGAGCAAAACTTGTCCCTGAGGCCCCATCATCTGGTTATGTGGTGCCATCATTTGTGGGCCCTGCTGGGACAGCATCTGCTTGGGTGGGGTCATCCTTTGAGGTGAAGGCCCAAGATTTTGGTTCTGAGGGTTCACCATCATCTGGCCCTGTGGCATAAGCTGGGCCCTTGAAAGGATCATAGGGTTCTGAGGGTTCAGAGTTCCTGGTTGCTGGACCATCTGGCCCTGGGAGGGCACAATCTGCTGGTGCATGCCCATCAGTTGAGAAGGTGGGCCCTGTTGGGGCTGGCCTTGCATGTTGCCCAGGTTCACCTGTGGAACCCCAGAACTACCGGCCTGCTGGTTGTTCATGTTGCCATGAATTCCCATGAGGCTGGGCTGCATCATATTTGGTGGCCCGTGGGACACCTGCATCTGGTTTTGAGGACCAGCTCCTTGACCACCTTAAAGGAAAAAAAGAAAAAAAAATGCAGTTTCAGAAAAATATTATTATCTTATTGGTATTAAGATACTCAAAACCTTACTTAGAAAAATACCCATCATCCATATACACACTGACCAACATAAACCATAAACGAGCTGTTTGATATCCTTTTTTTTTTTGGTACCGGGATGGAACCCAGGGGTGCTCAACCACTGAGCCACATCCCCAGCCTTTTTTTGTATTTTATTTTGAGACTAGAGTCTCTCTGAGTTGCTTAGGGCCTCAGTAAATTGCTGAGGCTGGGCTGGGGATGCAGTTCAGTTGGTAGCGTGCTTGCTTCACTAAATTGCTGAGGCTGGCTTTGAACTTGCAATGCTCCTGCTTCAACCTCCTCCCAAGTTGCTGGGATAACAGGTGTGAGCCACCACGCCTGGCTTAACATACTTTGTGAGTTTTTTAAACTACGGAGAAGCAATATGAGATAATTGTTTACAATTTCCATGACTATGCAACAGAATTAAGAAAGAAGGAGATAGTTTCTTTATTCCTGAGTGCTGACTTAAAGTCAATATTTCAAAAATCAGAAAACTTTTCTTTTAGATTAAATAAAGAGGAAGGCAATATTTCACTGTTTTCAATGACTTGTGGCTACCTTATTAAAAATAAACAACACTAAAGAAAACTAAACAACAATAACAACAAAAACTAAACAACACTAAAGAAAACTAAACAACAATAACAACAAAACAACATTGTATATACTGAAGTAAACTCTGCTATAAATGAGCTAGGGAAACCAAGAATGTGCCATGTTCTCTTAGGAAAACCCCAACAATGCTTCTTGGAAAACTATTACTCTCAAAGGCTAGTTATGCTATTTGTTGCACTTTAAAGAAGAGAATACCCAAAACTTTCTAAGACAGGTCTCCTTTGCCCTGGTGTGGTAAAAATTGTTTAATCCTGACATAATGAGAGCCAACTGACCAGATGACCCATCTGGAAGTTGCAGTCAAAGGGATGCTAAAAAGTTCAGTGACTGTATAAATACTTCTTGAGAGTCCCTAGTGAAAAACAAGGGACATGTTCTATTCTTCTAAGTTAGAGAAAAGATGCTGCCTGGCCTACTGCAGTGTTTGTTTACTGTTGGGTCCTTGAGATTTTTCTGTAGCTACTTGAATTACCTACCCTCCCTTACCCTCCACCCCCCCCATTTTTTTTTTTAAGTCCTAGAAATGGAACCCAGAGCCTCATGCATGCTAGGCAAGCGCTCTACCACTGAGCCTTATCTCCAGCCCCTACTTCTAGCTTATTTTATCTCTTTCATTTTTCACTTTTAAATGGGGATTAAAAAGTGGCTATAATGAAATTATGAAGCCAGTTCATGTTCCAGTCAGAGAGGTAGGGGACAAACTGTCTCTGGTTCACACTCTCCAGACTTTTCCTGAATCTCAAGGAAGACTCACTTCCTTGTCTCTGTGGAGTTTGGCTGGCAAGAGAGATAATACAAACAGTCGAGTATTTTTTCAGGAAGCAGTAAAAGCTAAATAAAATAGGACAACAGAAAATGACAGACAAAAGTAGAGCTACTTTAGAAAGGCTAAATGGGGAAATCAAAACAATAGGGGCATATGAGAAATACCATATATCATCACCCCTCTTCCCTATCTAGAAATAATCTTCCTCCCATGTTCTCCCTCCCTATCCCACTTTATACAAAATACATGTATGAAGATTTGAATTTGATGTCAACATACCTTATATACAGAGATATAAAAAATTATGGTACATATGTATATTAATAAATTTGGTGTGAACATACTTTATATACAGAGTTACGAAAAATTGTGCTGTATATGTGTAATAAGGAGTATAATGCATTCCACTATTGTTGTGTATTTAAAAATAAATAAATAATTAAAAAAGGAAACCCCGATAAGCAGGACTAAGAATTATTGCACTTAAAAATACATCAGTCATGATTTAAAAATAAAAAATGCATCATTAAAAAAATAAGAAAAAAAACCTACCATATAAAAATGATAGCTGTTCTAGGGTGGAAAATTATGTTTAATTATGCTTTAAATAAAACTTCCTCTAAGCTTGTAATCCTAGTGGCTCAGAAAGTTGAGGCAGGAGGATTCCAACTTCAAGAGTAACCTAGGCAACTAAGCAAGATCTTGTCTCAAAAAAGAGCTGGGGATGTGGCCCCCGTGTTCTAGTATAAATAAACAAGTAAATAGCTTCCTATAAAAACATTAATTCACATAACTCATGAACATAGTTTTGCATTGGCAGACAGGTAAAATCCAGTAATTTGCTATCCCTTCAAGAGACAGTCTGAAAATTTTTTTATTAAGTTAGAATTTTTCCTCATTCCTTAGAAATTTACAATTAAAGTTGGAATCACATAATTAAATTAACTCTGGAGTGGGCATGGCAGTTCTGAAAATATTTGATCTATGTCAATCCAAACTGTTTGAAAGGATAAATGGATTAGGCATGTTCCCTAAGTAACCAGAAACCCAGAAAAACGAATTTTTGGGCTTATACAATACTGATTACAAATACTACTTTTTAGTCATTCCACTGTATCTTATTTCCTCTCCAAAATTTCTTCTTATATACACTTCACTTTTGGCATTAAATTGGTACGATTGATTTTGAAAAATAACACAGTGTACATCAGAATTCAGACTTTGGCATAAACAAAGCTAACATGTATTACATATAGATTTTAAAAGTTGCAATCATCCCAACATGCCATATGCCTACATGCCTTTTTATCTTCAGTTTCCTCTGCCAGAAATGCTTTTTTCCTTTTACTACTTGAGCAAGCCCTAACTCAGAAGTCAACAAACTCCTCCTGAGTGGGCCAAATTAGGCCCACTGCTGGTTTGTCAAGGTGAATTGAGTAGCTGCAAAAACCCCCCAAATAACCTAAAATATTTACTTTCTGGCTCTTTCCATGAAAAAAAAAAAAAAAAAAGCCCGACTCCTGCTCTAACCCAAGTTTCACTCCTTTTCTTAGATGTTTCTAGGCTCCTGAAACATCTAAGAAAAGGAGTGCCTATTTTCCACGTATCAATTACTATTCTGAATGATTAATATGCATTTGAAATTAAGGGGAGAGACCAAGAATTATTAATCTATATATTCCTGTTGCCTACCAAGGCATCTCCCACATGATGCTCAATAAATGCTAGTTGAATAAATTATAGAAAACAAACCTGAATGCTGGACACTTTGATTTGCTTGCAGCTGAGGGGCTCCTGAATTCCCAGGGGTGGTTGCTGTGGTAGAAGGCACCTGACCTTGCATAAAGTTCGGATTGGCCTGTCCTGCTGAGAAGCCAGGTGGGAGGCGTTTAGGCATTCCTTAATAGAAAACAATGAGTAAGGCAGTTACCTAGCAAATTTATACTCTTGCTTAGATATGGAATGAATAAGGAAGGATGAGCTGCATGAAGTTTCCACTGGCTTAGCTCTCTCTGTCACACTGGTAGGATCTTTAATAATAAGGTTGGGAAAGATGGTTAAAAAAATCAACACAATCTCTTAAATGAGCATTGTCAAAATGGAAAAGAAATACTAAAAAATTTACACTTAGAACATGCCAAGGAAAAGATGGCAATCTGCTCCCTAAATGTGATCTGAGGCCACGCCACAGCAAGGTTTGAGGGTTCACTTTTCTCTGTAATACAATGGACCCCAAAACTTTACATTCTTTAACAAAGGCACCAAAGGAATATGTTAAATTCTCTCATATTCAAATAAATTGATATGAAATACTATAAAACAGAGAGCTGGGTCCCAATATTAAAGATAGATAGATGATTTTTTTCCTTTAAGGGAAATGGATGACAATCTCCTTTGCAGTAAATTTCCCCCTAATGTTGTACCTGTCTCTTTGGAAGAGATCAGATATTAGAAACAGTTCACAGGAGCTCCAAAATGAGGCTATATTAAACTTATCATTATGCCTTTCTCTCATAAGGTTTGCTGTGATTCTGACAGCTATGGCACCAAAAATCATGCTCTAATGGAATCTTACTCAAGTATTACTTCCTTTTACAAAGGCCTAATTTCAAAAAACAAATTTGTAACAAGGAGAATCTCAGACCCACTCATTGTTTATAACACAGGCCTTGATGTGGCCAGATCACCTAGGTGAGCATATCATCTGTTCTATGAAAGCATCAAGACCTAAAGCTTGCTTAAAATTTTCTTGCATTTCTCCATTTATTTGTTTAAGGGCCAAATTTTCAATGCCCTGAAAAACTCTTTGTAGACAAATATGCACTTGTCCTTTCTTTAGCAGTGACAAGTCCCCACTTGCATGCTTCCATTGTAATTAAATCAGTAATCACATTTGCAGGAGGGACTACCCAGCTTCCACTGATCCAGGGCTAGATGCCCAGAACAGTGAAGTATGGAGTTGAAACATTCTTGCATTTTCTAAAAACGTCTTAGGATTCAAATATTAGAGCCTGCATGTCAGCAAAATTAATTACAAGAGAGTGAGAAGACTGATGAGCAACTTAATTTCACCAGAAACCATGGGAACATGCCTTTGCTATGTTGCACTAAAGATGTAAGGGTTTTTTTCTGGGTAGGCAATGGGTGTCTTTTGGAGGGGGATATGTTTATCAGATGACAGTATTACTGACACTCTCTATAACTTACTGAAAAGCTCCAAGCACATTCATGTGCACTAGATCAATGATTAATAAGAATAAATAATAAACATGGAGATGGATAAGTTTTACTGTAATCGTTTTACCTCTCACACATTAAGCTCCATTGCTTTTTCTTCATACAAGAGGCACCTTACAAAATAAATAAATAAATCTCCTTTAGGTATAACTAGTGGAATTCCCTCTCTGAGGAGCAGGCATTGGCATTATAAAACTATAAAAGTCAATGATTTCTGAACTTATTCCCCTTTAATACTTTAATCAAAGTTAACAAATACCATGCTTACTATTTTACTAACTAGGATTATCAAAATTGGTAACTAGAAGGGCATTTTCCCCAATAAGACCCTGTATTTATCTTTTCATTTTTGCTCTACTGCATAATCTTAATTTTTTCAGTAGCCAAGAAGTTTAAGTTGTTAATAAAATGCATGTTTCTTCTGGAAATTTTAATTTACTAGTATAAGATCAAGCAAAAAAAAAATCTGAAAAACAAAATGAAATCTCTATATTGAATTTTACCTGCATTTTATCCAGAGCTCTAGCTTATATTTAATCAATAAATTGCTGAACAATGTATCAAAATAATAATGCATCAAGTTAACTAAGTTATATTGTCACCACCATTTCACAAAAGCAAATAATTACATCCTTATTTCACTCCCTCCATTAACTCTAAAAACTTAAGTTCTATTCAGATCTATCTCCAGCAAATTTACCAACATAAATAGCTTCAGTATTCCTCACCTCCTAGGCCTGGATGTAAACTCTGTGGCCCCTGGTTTGGTGGTTGCTGCTGCATCACCATGAAGTTAGGTGGCACATTTCCCTGTTGAACCATAGGATTCCGACCCGGAGAGCTGACGGGCTGCTGAAATCCCTGGGGAAGTGGGTTATTTTGAGGTGGCCTTGGTCCCATCTGCTGCTGAGTTTGGTTAACCGTTGGGGAGGATGCAGGGGATCCCTGCTGGAAGGAGGAGGGTGAGGAGGCAGGAGACTTGTTGGTGAGGTGGGGCTGCTGCAGGGGGGTTGGGACCCTGGAGGGCCCCCCCTGTAAGCTCTTCATCTGAGGAGCTGTGAACTGGCCTGGGTTGCTCATCTGAGGAAAGTTTGCATGGGCTTGTGAGGCTTGCTGGCTGCCAAAGGGATATGGAGGGGGAGGGTGGGAAGGTGTCTGTACCGTGGCTAAGGATGGTCTTGCCTGGAGTTGCTGTTGCATTGGGCCAGGCAAGGGAGACTTCTTCCACCCTTGGTTTGCAGTCATTGTGCCCAGAGAACCCTGGGCTGGAGGAGGCTGAAGGGCTCCAGAAGGCAGCTGGTTCCAGCCTGGAGGAACAGGCACCTGAGTTGGGGCAGTAAACTGGGGTCGAATCCCCTGTGGCTGCTGCTGCTGCTGATGTTGCTGTGGGGGTCTTGCCTGCAATTGTTGCTGTTGCTGCTGCTGCTGCTGTTGTTGCTGTTGTTGTTGCTGTTGCTGCAGCTGGGGAAAATTAGCTGGGTTCATTTGTCTGTTCACAGGGACAGGCTGCATTGGGTGATGAGGAGGAGCTAAAGATCCTGAGGGATGACTCTGCTGTTGCATATGGAGCCCAGAGAGGAGTGGATCCATTGCATCTGTTAAAGACAGTCAATAAAACAATAATCAACCTACTGCAACCTAGATGCTTAATGCAGCCTGGTACCATTCATGTTACCGTGTTTGCAAGCACCTTCTATATACAAAGCAACATACCAACATTCAAGAAAGTGAAAAGGTATAAAGAATTTCTATGGTATCTACCTTTTATTTATTTTTTTTAAGAGAGAGAGAGAATTTTATTTATTTATTTATTTATTTATTTTCAGTTTTCGGCGGACACAACACCTTTGTTTGTATGTGGTGCTGAGGATCGAACCCAGGCCGCACGCATGCCAGGCGAGCACACCACCCCTTGAGCCACATCCCCAGCCCGGTATCTACCTTTTTTTTTTTTTTCCAGTTTTCGGCAGACACAACATCTTTGTTTGTATGTGGTGCTGATAATCGAACCCGGGCCGCACGCATGCCAGGCGAGCGCGTCACGGCTTGAGCCACATCCCCAGCCCCCAGTATCTACCTTTTAAAAATGTAAAACCTTTGCTCCCTCTCCTCCCAGTACATATATAGATATGTCAGAAACTCTACACTACTTCTTGCTTTAAAGAGTTTATGGTTCAACAGTGGATATAAGAGCCACTGTGAATATATATAAATGTGGATAGCAGTAATTTCCAAATCACATACTAGGGAACTGTGTTAATCACTGTTATAAGAAAACGAAACGAAATTGTCAATCAGGTTTGGAAAATACTGAATCTAACATCCTTAGATAAGTTTGTTTTTTATAGTAGGATGTAAGCATTTCCAATATGTTAATACTGAATTTCAAATAGGCAGTGTAAAGTAGGATGCATTTACCAAATTTACTTGACTACAGAATTCTGTCATGAAATATCTTGCAATACTAAGTAGGCCCAAGCATGCTTTTTAGAAATGATGGGGTATTATTAATTGATAACAATGAGAAATTCTAAGAAGGAAATGATGACATTTAGCTTGAAGATATCAGAGCAAAATTGGTAAAGAAGGTAACATTTAAGCTGGACAGTTAGGAATACAGTATAAGAAATAGGTGGAATTTTATAATCATCTCTATAGAAGTTCCAGGTTCTTCAATCCTCAAAGATTGGTATCATTACCTGACTGAGAAGCAGGGCGAGGGGTCCTGGGCTGCAGCTCTGGATTGGGGCCTGGTGCCATCATGGAAGATGACACATTTGCACTCTGGGGTATCATAACAGTGGCAGGACTGGCCATTCTCATTAATCCTAGGGGGAAAAAATAAAGATCCCTAAAATAGAGTATTGGAATAGGCACAATTTTTGTTTTTGATGATATATTTCAAGAAAGAGAAAAGGTATCAAGAATTTCTATGGTATCTACCTATTAAAAATGTAAAACCTTTGCTCCCTCTCCTCCCAGTACATATATAGATATGTCAGAAACCCTACATTACTTCTATTTCATTTCCTTCCTCTTACTATAATTGGTGTTAAAAGTTCCATGTGGGGCTAGGGCTGTAGCACAGTGGTAAAGTGCTTGCCTCACATGTGTGAGGCACTGGGTTTGATCCTCAGCATCACATAAAAATAAAGATACTGTGTGTTCATCTACAAATAAATAGTAAAAAAAAAAATTCCATGAATATTTCTGCATTTGTAGGTAAGCTGCACAGCATTTTTGTATGCTTTTAATCTTTGTATAAGTGGTACCACACTATATATATTCTTCTTCAGTTTCCATTTTCACTTAATATTATTTTTTGAGACTCATCCCTCTTGAAGGGGATGTATATAGATCCACATATCTGCCCTCTGCTAATAAACACTGAGGTATAATTTTTTCTAACCCTTTATTCTTTTTTTTTCTAAAAATGTTTTTTTCACTGTAGTTTTCTTTTATTAATTGTTCAAAACATTACAAAGTTCTTGACATATCATATTTCATACATTTGATTCAAGTGGATTATGAACTCCCATTTTTACCCTATATACAGATTGCAGAATCACATCGGTTATATATCCACATTTATACATACTGCCATACTAGTGTCTGTTGTATTTTGCTGCCTTTCCTATCCCCTACTATCCCCCCTCCCCTCTCCTCCCATCTTCTCTCTCTACCCCATCTAAAAATGTTTTTATTCATTCTCTTCAGATAAAGAAAATGTCAATTATCCATACCAAGTAATAAGAAGTACATGAAATCACTATGATAATTCAGGTTGACCTGCAGGAGCTGCAGTTTCAGGTCCCTCCTCAGATACTAAAGCTCTTGGACGTTTAAGTCCCTTTTATAAAGTGGCATAGTATTTGCACATAACCTATACACATTGTCTCATATACTCAAAATAATCTCTAGATTACTTATAATACTTAATACAATGTAAAATTTATGTAAATAGTTATTGTACTGTTATTTAGGGAATAATAACAAAAAAGTCTGTACATATTGAGTTACAGATACAACACATAGGCCCAACTATGTATGTATGTATGTATGTATATGTGTGTATGTATCCATGCCTACTTCAGTAAATTCTCCCTGGCTAACATCAAGATAATCTCCATAAAGGTTGGCAAATCCAGTTTCAGAACTTGATAAGAAGAGATAGGAACAGATATTCTAACCTTTAATTCTTATAATTCTGCAAAGTAATGTATTTGTTAAGAATTCTTTTTTTTTTTTTTTAGAAGAGAGTGAGAGAGGGGAGAGAGAGAGAGAGAGAGAATTTTTTAATATTTATTTTTTAGTTCTCGGCGGACACAACATCTTTGTTGGTATGTGGTGCTGAGGATCGAACCCGGGCCGCACGCATGCCAGGCGAGCATGCTACCGCTTGAGCCACATCCCCAGCCCTGTTAAGAATTCTTTTTTTTTTTTTTAAGTTGTTGAGGACCTTTGTTTTTATTTATTTATATGTGGTGCTGAGACTTGAATCCAGTGCCGCACACATGCTAGGCAAGCACACTACCACTTAGCCACAAGCCTAATCCTGTTATGAATTCTTATGGACATGTGGGAGTATATGGGAGTATATTTAGATTATATTAAAAGACTTAGAATTGCTAGGTTGCAAGTCTTAACATCTTCAGTTTTATTAATTGTTGGCAAACTGCTCTTAAAAGAGATATAATAGGGCTGGGATTGTAGCTTAGTGGTAGAGTGCCTGCTTAGCACGTGAGAGGTAGTGGGTTCGATCCTCAGTGCAACATAAAAATTAATAAAATAAAGGTGATGTGTCCATCTACAACTAAAAATAACATTAAAAAAAAAACAGCAGTCTGAGAAATCCTCTTTTTCACATTTTTGTAATTTCAGACACTATTAGGTTTTTTAGGATTTCTGGTCATCAGTGAGACTAGCTTATAATTATCTTCTTCTGTCCTTTGATTTTCAGCATCAAGATTACACTAATCTCAAAATTAGTTCAAAAACATCTTTCCTCTTTTTCTATGCTCTGGGAAAATGTGGGTATTTGTCCTTTACCTGTAAAACCATTTGGGCCTAAACAGATTTTTAAATTATTTTCTTACATGGTTATGGATTTTTCAAGTTTTTTAATGTCCTACTAAGTTAGTTCAGCTAAATTACAATTTTGTTAATGCTTTGAAGTTTGTCAGTATGAAGTTATTTATGTGATAACCTTTTGTTCTACTCTTTTTAAAAAATTAAGATATAATTCACATACTATAAAAACCTACCATTTTAAGGGTATATTTGTTCATTCTTTACATTGTTTGTGCCTTCTCTTTTTTTCTTTAGCAGTCTTAACCACAGTTATCAGTTTAATGGTCTGTTTTATGGTTTTTCCCAAGTGATACTATATCTCTGCTTTCCCTTTTATTATTCCCTTTCTAACATATTACTCTGTTTTTTTTTTTTTCCATTCTTAAGTCAGATACTTTGCTTTTCAACTTGTAGTTGATGTTCTTATATTGGAGGACTTAAAAATTCTTCTATATGCTGTAATGGCTACTTTCCAAAAATTTTGATATGTACATTCTTTTTTAAAATATTTTTTTAGTTTTACATGGATATAATATCTTTGTTTATTTTTATGTGGTGCTGAGGATTAAACCCTGTGCCCCACATGTGCAAGGCAAGTACTCTGCCACTGAGCCACAGCCCCAGCCCTTATATGTACTATTCTTATAAATCCATTCTGATCATGATTACCTTTTAAAATTATTAGGTATTTAGAATATATTTCTAAAATTTCCAAAAATATGAGATTTTTGTCCAAGTTTTCTTTGGTTGGTTTTTGTTTGCTACTGACATTTGTTTGCTGTGTTCAGAAAACAGATCTATGTGATATTAATATTTGGTATTTACTGAAACTTGTTTGGGAATAATCCATATTACTTTGTATAAATATTCCATTTATGCTTGAAAGATTAAGGACTCTTGATTTATTACTGAATGGTGTCTATATATGTCCATCATATAAAACTAATTTAATTACATTATTCAAGCTTTCTTTATCCTTATTGAGCTTTTAAAAATTTGATTCATCAATTACTAACAGAGGTTTGTTAAACTCTCCTCTCAAAATTCCTCTTTGTAGAATTCTTATTTCTTTTTGGGAGGGAGTGGGGCGGGTGGGGGTGGTTACCAGGGATTAAACTCAGGGGCACTCTACCACTGAGCCACATCTCTAGCCCTATTTTGCATTTTATTTAGAGACAGGGTCTCACTGAGTTGCTTAGCACCTCACTTTTTGCTGAGGCTGGCTTTGGAACTCATAATCCTCCTGCCTCAGCCTCCCTTTTGAGGCTAGGTTAAGTACAGAAAAATTTAGCTATTTTCTTGGTGAAAGTTTTCCTTCTACATCATACATTAGCTCTATTCATTTATATGCTTTTTGTCTTAATGTCTATTTAATTTGGTAAGAATATTGTTATACCTCTTTTTCTTGGTTAATATTCACCTGGTTTAATCTTTTTTTTCTATCCTTCTAACTTTGAAACTTCTGAGTCCTTATATTTTATGTATTTCCTATAAGAACATATAGGTCATCCTGAGATTACCATTCTTTTTATCAGTGTTCACAGTCCATTTACCTTTATTGCTAATTACTGGTGATATTCTGATTTGTCATTCTATGATTTTTATTTACCTTCCTTTTTCTATGTTGTTTTCTTTTCTTATTTCTCCTGAATTTTACTGGATTTTTTTTCTATCATGTCTTTCTTCTCTCCCTCTCCACTACTAGTTTAGAAGTTGTACACTCTATTATTTTACTGATCTTTAAAATGTCAATAGACACATCTAAGTCTAATGTCAATGTGATATTCATTATTATTAAATGTCAATACTTATTTAAATTTACCCCATGTTTACCAATTATTTAGCTCACCATTCCTTCTTAGATCTTATTTCTTCCATCTTAGGTTCAATTTTCTTCTTCCTGAAGTACATCCTTGAGCAGTTCAATTAGCAAGGGTCTGTTAATGGTAAATTATCTTAGTCTCTTAAAAAGGTCTTTATTTCTACTACTCTTGATAGTATAGCTAGGGTTTTTTTAATATTTACTTTTTTTGTTGTAGTTGGACACAATACCTTTATTCCATTCATTTATTTTTATGTGATGCTGAGGATCGAACCCAGGGCCCTGAGCATGCTAGGCAAGCTTTCTACTGCTGAGCCACAATTCCAACCCCATATAGCTAGGTTTAAACCTTTAGACTGTAAATTATTCCCTCAGCACTTTGAAAATACTATTCTAATGTTTCCTGGTTTCCAACACTTCTGTTGATAAGATCAGCTGTCAATCTGAGAGGTTTTTCTTTGTAAATAATTGGTCTTTTTTGGGGGGCAGTGCTTTTAATATTTTGTTTTGTTTTTCATATTCTGTAGTTTTATAATATTATGTTTAGATGTGGATTCATTTTTATTTGTAATATTTATGATAAATTGGGTTCTGATACTGATTACTTATGTCTTTTAGCAGTTCTGGAAAATCTCAGGTATTCTTCTTTAACTTTTGCTCCTCCTCAATTTTTTTATTTTCTTTTAGAACTCTTTTAAAATATATTTTAAACCTTCTCATCTTACCCTTTATGTCTCTTGATGCCTTTAATATTTCCATCACTTTATTTCTCTGTTGCATTCTGGGTGATTTCTTTAAGTTCACTTTCAAGTTCAGCTAATTTTAATTTGCTGAATAATTTATTCATTTTGATTTTTTTTTTTTTTTTTGAGTACCAGGGATTAAACTCAGGGGCCTTCAACCACTGAGTCATATCTCCAGCCCTATTTTGTATTTTTTTAGAGACAGGGTCTCACTGAGTTGCTTAGTGCCTTGCTTTTGCTGAGGCTAGCTTTGATCTTCTTGTTGCAGCCTCCCAGGCTGCAGGGATTACAGGTGTGTGCCACTGCACCTGGCTCATTTTGGTGCTTTTTAAGTTTCTACAAGTTTTTGTCACAAATCTCTTTATGCCCTGATCATATCTTGTTTTTCTTTTTATGATTTCTATAATTTAGAACAGCCTGAAAATTCTGGAAAAAGGAAGTTCAATCCTATTTTACAAATTTGTGAGTGAAAGCTTATTTACAGTAAGGCTTTAACTAAGAGAAGTATATAAGAGCTGGGGTTGAGAATGTGCCCCTCCATTGCATCAGCAGTTATGACCAGTCAAGAACAACTAAATGTTTTTTTTTTTTTTTAATATTTATTTTCCAGTTCTCGGCGGACATAACATCTTTGTTTGTATGTGGTGCTGAGGATCGAACCCGGGCTGCACTCATGCCAGGCGAGCACACCACCGCTTGAGCCACATCCCCAGCCCACAACTAAATGTTAATGACTTTAGTTGGCTGTTTCTGGGTCATTTCACTAACATATTTAACCCACCATGCAAGAAGGTAGAGAAGATAATTCCATACTCACTCTCACTGCCAAGACAGACAAGTTTCTCATTTGTCTCTCTGTGTCAGAGGGTGACATTTTTCTAAGCTATCTTTCACTGAAAATTCTGGCAAATCATTAAGGATACTGAATTCTATCTTCATTCTTCATGTAGATCCAAGGCAAGGTCTTATCTTTTATTCCTTCCTGGCCATTAAAACTAAAATCTTTTCGTCTTTACTGCTGTTTAAATTTTCATATTTGACTTTTTTTTTTTTTTTTGCCCTGTGGCATTCCTCTGTTTTCTTAAAGGCTCAATTATGCATTAAAAGTAGTGTTTCATCCATTGTCTTTCAGTGTTTTGTAACTGGAGAGGGAGCTGGCTAACTACCTATTATCTGTTAATACTGGATTTGTTTCTGATGAATCCCATCCTATTTTTCAAAGATGATAATTAGTAAGCAAGTTTTCACAAAGTGAGAAAAAGGTTTTTTTAGTTCACAATTATCTTAAAGTACCTGCTGACTACATGCTCAATAATGACAACGTGCAGTTTTAGTACTTAATGGAAATTTGCACTAGATCCATGGTTCTCACCTACAGGCAATTTTGTTCCCCAGGGAACATTTAGCAATGTTAGAGACATTTTTAGTTGGCACAACTGCAGGAAGGGATAGTGAAGCTATCACACCTGGTGGGTAAAGGCTAAGGAGGTTATTAAACATCCCACAATGTGTGGGCAGTTATCCACAGCAAAGATTTATTGGCCCAAAACAATGTATTAAGGYAAAAACCCTTGATGAAATGATTACTATAATATCCTTACAAATTTGAGAATGCTATAAGGCCATGAAAAAAAATAGGTCCAGGATTTAGTTTTAGTTGCAAATTGCTTTTGTTTATCAGCTAACTCTATTCCCAATGCTAAGAAGAAAGTACCAAGAATAATTAATGGTACTGTGATATTCCAGATACAGTTACAAAGTCACTTATTATTATTTTAGAGAGAATTTAAAAATCTCTTCCCTTAGAAAATTTTTAGTTTAACCTAATGTTAAATTTTGTTTGCACCTTTAAGTCTCACTCACTAAACAAGTGAGAAAAGGAATCCTAAGCTATGCTTGGCATTAAAGAAAGACAAGTAGAGGTTAAAAAGTTACTATGACTGCAGATCACTACTGATTATTCCCAGAACTTTATATTATCACAGTTAGCATCCTTCATTTCAATCTAAAGCTTCTAAATTTCCTATGTTGGTAATGAACTATAGGACTATAATTTGTACTTATTTCCTAAAGATGATTAATAAATATGCTTACTATTTGCCACATAGTAGCTGAAAAGAGTTTGCAATTAGTGTGGTGACATCAGTTTATTAGAGTCTTAACACTGTAAGCCTGGAGGGGATCTCTAGCATTGTTTTCAGGACATGATCAAAGATGTTTACAGGCAACTAAAGCCAGAAAATATTAATTCCTTTGGCCAGGAGTTGAGACTAGAACCCATATTTCCTGACTGTTATGCCAGGTCTATTCATTCTTTCTTTTTTTTTTTTTTTTTTAGAGAGAGTGAGAGGAGAGAGAGAGAGAGAGAGAGAGAGAGAGAATTTTTAATATTTATTTTTTAGTTCTCGGCGGACACAACATCTTTGTTGGTATGTGGTGCTGAGGATCGAACCCGGGCCGCACGCATGCCAGGCAAGCGCGCTACCGCTTGAGCCACATCCCCAGCCCGGTCTATTCATTCTTTCACTATCTACATATAACTTAGCTAGGCTTTTCCAATTCTGCTTCAGTCCCTGGTTCTTCTAGTGGTGGCAACAGTGTCACCTATAATTTCTCATTAAACTGCCTTAGTACCAAATGCTTGGTCTTCTGTGAGGAACTTCAATATATAAAGCACCAGGCTGGGTATTCCATCTACTAGATGGTATCCACATCAACCTCACAGCAGAGGTATTCACATATACATAAAAGAGGAACTCAGGGTATGTTTGCTGTGTGGAAGATCTCATCTACTTTCAAGGATGAGTTCAGAGGATAGGAGACATCATCATCATCTTATTTTAAAGGTAAGGAAACTATTACTCAGGAAAATGCAGTTAAGTAGCTTAAGGTAATCAGTAAATGCGGTGTCCAGATAAAAACCTAGTTACAAGTCCTCCACTACAATTCAGAACAGCAACTTATAAATTGAGCTCTTCTATCCTGCTGCACTTCTTCAAGGTTACTATGGTGTAGGCAGAGAACAAAATAGTTGGATACAATTTCACACTCTCATTCTGCTTTAACCTCAGCAGCCGAATAAGGATCCTTCAGGTGAAAAAAGCACTGCACTGGGAGTTAGGACATCTGTAATAATAGCCCACTGCTACTTGACCTTGGGAAAATCACTTCCTGTCTTATTTGTTCCATTGCTTCCTAAGCTTTAAATGTCAAAGCCAACTCAATTCTTCTTCTTCTTTTTTTTTTTTGGTATTGGGGATTTAACCCAGGGACACTTTACCACTGAACCACATCTTCAGCCCTTTGTATTTTTTAGTTTGAGAGAGTCTCACTAAGTTGCTTAGGCTGGCTTCAAACTTGTGATCTTCCAGTCTCATCCTCCCAAGTCACTCCGACTACCGGTGTGCGCCACCAAACCAGGAAAGAGCCAACTCAACTGCAATATTCTGTGATCCATAGAATATTAGGTTCAATCTCTGAAGAAAAAATTTTAGGTTTACTAGAAAAGGAACCAAAACAATTTATAACACTTTCAAATTCTAAATACATAAAAACACATATTCTATATAAGCACGCAAGAACTCTGATTACAGATTCTCAGCCTCAGTGGTAGTGGAAGTTGGAAAACTACATTCTCCACTATACTATAAACATCCTAAGGGTGGAAAATGTTTTATTCATTTCTATTTTGAATACCCAGTATAGGTCCTGTCATACAACAGGAACTCAATAAATGTTTGCTACACAGCTCAGTATTTACCAGATTTTAAGCAAATGATTACAAAGATCAAATGTTTCATGCTCTGACCCTAGCCTCCTAAGAATGATTCATGTCTCCCTTTCCTAATGCAGCAAACAGAGATGTGGGTGTGTCATGAGCCCCTGCCTATCTGCAGGACTCAAATGATCTTACCTTAGCAAAAAATGGAAAATAGTAAAACATGATTCGATTGAATGGGAGATCTCACCTGGACCACCGGCCATGGGAAATCCTGGTTCCATCCTAACGGAATTTCCAGCTCCCATAGGTCCATTCATTCTCACATCTTGGCTTCGGTTTTGAGCCAAAGCCAGGTTGATAGCACCTTCCCCTGAAAATGACAGTCAGGTTATAAAAAGGAAATCATAATAAGAAGCAAGTATTGTTTAAAGACAGGTACACAAGAACTTTTAGTTTTCTGTGTTTTTGAAGAATTATGGTATGTTTACCACCACAAACAGGGTGTGTCAATACTACATAGGTCTTTCTTCAACCTATTTAAGCAGGTTTACTTACAAGCACAAGGAGATCATAACCAATTCTCACTTGCAAAAAGGGTAAATGGGCAATCATTAATGATGCATAGTGTCAACAGAGAGCTTAGAACTCTGAATAATTATTTTTAGTCAGATCACTGTGTGTGTGTATGTGTGTGTGCATGCGCGTGCGTGCGTGCGCGTAAGACAGAAAATATTCTCATGAACTCTCAAAATCCTAGATTTTCTTTTGGGAATTTAAAATCAGAAGGTAGAAATAAGAGAAAGTTTAATGGTCAAAGAAAATACGATGGTGTAGGGACACTGTAATACTTGTGAGCAAAATACCAATTTCCTTTCAATAACTGCAAACATAAAAAGATTTCCAGCAGAGAAATTCATGCAATGAAGAGTAGATAGCCTGGTACTAACCTATCTCCATAACATCTAATGATAAAATCAGCATTTTCATTTTGGGGGGTAGGGGTGTGGGACAATGCTGATGATTGAATCCAGGGCCTTGTATATGCTAAGCATGTGTTCTACCAATGAGTTACATCCCTAGCCCCTGTATAGATAAACACTAGAAGTGTTCCAATTAAGTAGACCCTAAACTTAGAGGCAACTTATATCTTACTTGGTCCAATGATTAAAAAGGTCTCTGGAAACAAGTTTCAGAATGTTTCTTGCACTTTATCCACAATTTTGACTATGATTACCTTGGAAGACAATACCATCTACAGACATTTAAAATAAGTTAGCCAGTAGCTGAGGAGTTGAAAGTCTACATTCCCCAAGTCCTTCCATACCCTGGGGTCTTGGTTTATAGTTGGATAATAAGGCAGAAAGCTAATGAGGACACAACAGTTTCTGCTGTCCCACCGATGTAAGTTACCTTTCCATGTGTACTTTTTTTTTTWAAATTGTATTTGGACACAATACCTTTATTTTTATATTGTTACACAGTGCTGAGGATCAAAGGGCCTCACACATGCTAGGCAAGCATTCTACTGCTGAGCCACGATACAGCCCCTCCATTTGTACTTTAATCAGTGAGATTGGCTGGTTATCAGAAACAACATCCTACCACTAGGGGTTACAAGATGCTCTGACTTGACTATACTGTCTACAATAAGAGAAAGAAAATACAGGTCTTAAGGGTTTTCACCAATGAGAAGGGACTATATCAAACTTGCTAAGATAGTCTGAGCAGAGAGCTCTTAAAATGATAAGATCATGTCACTTCTTTACTTCAAACCGATCTACTATTTCCCACTGTTGTAAAAATAAAAGCCAAACATCTTAATAAGATACAAAACTTCAACTTATCTAGCCTAATGCTGTTCAAAAGAAATACTAGCTATACAAGTAATTCAAAAATTTTTAGAAGCCACAGTAAGAAACAGCAGATGAAAATAACTATAGCATTTTATTTAATCTAATATATCCAAGATATTATTATTTCAACATATAATAGTATAAAAATTACTGAAATAGGGCTGTGGTTGTACCTCAGTGGTAGAGGGCTTGCCTCACACACAAGGCCTTGGGTTTGATCCTCAGCAAATATGAATTTTGAACGTATAGCCCATGTCAGTTTGGACAAGCCACATTTTTAGTGCTCAACAGCCACAGATGGCTTGTGCCACATGTTACACAGCCAAATTCAGCCCTCCTCTGCTTCTCTAACCTCAGTTTACACTATTTTCTCCTTCAGTAATAAGGATTCAGACACGGTCAATTTTTAGCTTTATAAAGGCACACAAATCTGTTTCTCACATCAAGGACCCTTGTACACAAATATTATTTCCTCTGCCCAAAACAGTTCTCTGAACTTTTTTATTTTTTAATTTATTCTAATTTTGTTATATATGACAGCAGAATGCATTATAATTCATATTACACATATAGAGAGCAATTTTTCATATCTCTGGTTGTACACAAAGTAGAGTTATACCATTCATGTCTTCATACGTGTACTTAGGGTAATCATGTGCATCTCATTCCACAGTCTTTCCTACATCCATGCCCCTTCCCTTCCCCTCTCACCCCTTTGCTCTATCTAATGTTTGTCTAATCTCCAATGCTCCCCGCCAACCCCATCATGAATCAACATCGTTATATCAGAGAAAACATTTGGCATTTGGTTTTTTGGGATTGGCTAACTTCACTTAGCATTACCTTCTCCAACGCCATCCATTTATCTGCAAATGCCATGATTTTATTCTCTTTAAATGCTGAATAATATTCCATTGTGTATATATATGACATTTTCTTTTTTTAAAAATATTTTTAGTATTTATTTTTTAGTTCTCGGCGGACACAACATCTTTGTTGGTATGTGGTGCTGAGGATCGAACCCGGGCCGCACGCATGCCAGGCGAGCGCGCTACCGCTTGAGCCACATCCCCAGCCCCCCTATGACATTTTCTTTATCCATTCATCTACTGAAGGGCATCTAGGTTGCTTCCATAGTTTAGCTATTGTGAATTGTGCTGCTATAAACATTGACGTGGCTGTGTCCCTGTAGCTGTTTTTAAGTCCTTTGGGTATAGACCAAGGAGTGGGATAGCTGGGTCAAATGGTGGTTCCATTCCCAGCTTTCCAGGAATTTCCACACAGCTTTCCATATTGGCTGCACCAATTTACAATCCCCCCAGCAATGTATGAGTGTGCCTTTTTCTCCACATCCTCACCAACACTTGTTGTTTATACTCATAATAGCTGCCATTCTGACTTGAGACAAAATCTTAAGAGTAGTTTTGATTTGCAATTCTCTTAATTCCTAGAGATGTTGAACATTTTTTCATATATTTGTTGACTGATTGTATATCATCTTCTGGAATGTGTCTGTTCAGTTCCTTGGCCCACTTATTGATTATTAGTTTTTTTGATGTTAAGATTTTGAGTCCTTTATATATTCTAGAGATTAGTCCTCTATCTGATGTGTGGTAAAACTTTGCTCCCAAAATGTAGGTCTCTATTCACCCCACTGATTGTTTCTTTTGCTGATAAGAAGCTTTTTAGTTTGAATCCATCCCATTTATTGTTTCTTGATTTTAATTCTTGTGCTATAGGAGTCTTATTAAGGAAGTCGGGGCCTAATCCAACATGATGGAGATTTGGACCTACTTTTTCTTCTATTAGTCGCAGTCTCTGGTTTAATTCCTAGGTCCTTGATGCACTTGGAGCTGAGTTTGTGCATGGTGAGAGACAGGGGATTAATTTCATTTTGTTGCATATGGATTTACAGTTTTCCCAGCACCATTTGTTGAAGAGGCTATCTTTTCTCCAATGTATGTTTTTGGCACCATTGTCTAATATAAGATAAGTGTAATTATGTGGGTTTGTCTCTGGGTCCTCTATTCTGTACCATTGATCTACAAGTCTATTCTGGTGCCAATACCATGCTATTTTTGTTAATGTTGCTCTGTAGTACAGTTTAAGGTCTGGTATAGTGATGCCACCTGCTTTTCTCTTCTTGCTAAAGATTGCTTTAGCTATTCTGGGTCTCTTATTTTTCAAGATGAATTTCATGACTGCTTTTTCTATTTCTATGAGGAATGCCATTGGGATTTTGGTTAGAACTGCATTAACTCGCATAGTGCTTTTGGTAGTATTGTCATTTTGACAATATTAATTCTGCCTATCTAAGAGCAAGGTAGATCTTTCCATCTTCTAATGTCTTCTTTGATTTCTTTCTTTAGCGGTTTATAGTTTTTGTTGTAGAGGTCTTTTACCTCTTTTGTTGATTCCCAAGTATTTTATTTTATTTTATTTTATTTTTTTAATATTTATTTTTAGTTCTCGGTGGACACAACATCTTTGTTGGTATGTGGTGCTGAGGATCGAACCCGGGCCGCATGCATGCCAGGCGAGCGCGCTACCGCTTGAGCCACATCCCCAGCCCAGTATTTTATTTTTTTAAGACTACTGTAAATGGGGTAGTTTTCCTTGTTTGCTTCTCAGAGGATTTGTCACCAATATACAGAAATGCCTTTGATTTTTGGGTGTTGATTTTATATCCCGCTACTTTGCTGAATTCATTTACTAGTTCTAGAAGTTTTCTGGTGGAATTTTTGGGTCTTCTAGGTATAGAATCATATTGTCAGCAAATAATGCTGTATTTGAGTTCTTCCTTTCCTATCCACATCCCTTTAATTTCTTTCGTCTAATTGCTTTGGCCAGTGTTTCAAGAACTATGCTAAATAGAAGTAGTGAAAGAGGGCATCCCTGTCTTGTTCTAGTTTTTAGAGGGAATGCTTTCAATTTTTCTCCATTTAGAATGATATTGGCCTGGGGCTTAGCATATAGCTTTATAATGTTGAGATATGTTCCTGTTACCCCTAGTTTTTCTAGTGTTTTGAACATGAAAGGGTGCTGTCTTTTGTCAAATGCTTTATCTATATCTTTTGTGATGATCATTCTTATCTTTAAGTCTATTGATGTTGATTTCCATATGTTGAACCAACCTTGCAGCCCTGGGATAAATCCCACTTGATCATAGTGCACTATCTTTTTGATAGGTTTTTGTATTTGATTTGCTGAAATTTTTTTAAATATTTTATTTATTTATTTTTTAATTATCGGCAGACACAAACAACATCTTTGTATGTGGTGCTGAGGATCGAACCCGGGCCGCACGCATGCCAGGCGAGCGCGCTACCGCTGAGCCACATCCCCAACCCGATTTGCTGAAATTTTATTGAGAATTCTCTGAATTCTTCATATAGCCAGTTTTTCAATTTTCATGTGATCTTAAGTGTCACAGGTCCAAAAAGGCCTCCTCTACTTATCTTACTCAAGGTTAGATCATCCATATCAGAACATTTTGTTATTTCTTCAGATATCCCAT